TCACTTTACTTACAGCCACCATTACGCACTATACTGCAAATCAGGGATAATTGTGTACATTCATCCATCTACCTGTCACTCTGGGTTTGTATTAGTTAAGCATAAGGGAGCAGATAATGTAAGGTAAACACATTTGCAGTGCAGGAGAAAGGAAAGTAAATCCTTAATATACACAACACACAGCCAAAGATCATTTGGTGACAGACAATGCGTGTGCTTCAACATGTAACCCATGCTGTCAACAGAGAATGTATGTGTATACAGTCTGACAAGGTGCACACTGCTCAACTCACTCAGACTGAAGAATGGTGCTTTTGTTGGACTGTCCTTTTCAGGTGCAAATCTTTTTCCAATAGTGATTGTTAAGCACTGCTTTTCTATCTCAAAGTCACCTTTGGGTAAAAATAAAACATGTTGTTGTACTGTATTGTTGTTAAGAAGTACTCTGTCTGACAGAAAAAAAAATAGATTTAACAAGCACTCACAACACATCTCCAAAGATGGAGATGGAGGGGGGGTAAGAGAACAAAACTCAAAATGAGAGAAACATGCAGTTTTATGTACCTGAAAATAAACATCACAATTCAACAACACACACACACACACACACACACACCAGCATCCATTTTATCTCCATGTAATTCACCTTTGTAGAACATGGAAGGGGATGGAGGGGTCGGCCGACTTCATCGATTGGCTATCCTTAGCAGTGACAGCTCCCAGATTGGCCAGAGAGCATTAGAGAGTCAGAAAGTCACACTGCCATTAGCAGTCTGTCCTCTCTGGTTACAGCCTGCCTGTGCACGGACACTCCATAGACTGAAATAGATCACAGTGATCGGTGTGTGTGTGTGTGTGTGTATGTGGCATCGACAGATGTTCGTGTCCGTGTGCATGTCTAGGAAACGTGATCACTCTATCGCTGTATATATTCTGCATGAAGTTCAAGCCAATAACCTTAGCACTCCATTTTCATTTTTCTTCTTTAGTGTGTCTTATTACCTCTCAGGATGGCCCCCCTCCTTCTCTCTGCAACAAGGCAAACTTTCCACATCTTTCGGTGCGTGTGGACTGTTAGATTAATATTCATCATGCCTCAATATAAATCAGAATATATGGAGTACGTATACATGCGTGCACATGCTTGTTAAAAGTTACTTCACAGTTTAGCTTACTGCAAATTAATAACATGAATAGACCTGAGCACATTGAGTGGAGCCGTGTTATTTAAACAGTAGACTAGAAGGAAATTTACCGTGCCTGCCTGCCTGCCTGCCTCCATCTTACCAGCTCTCCCTACTTCTTTTCTGAGTCACATCTCCAGCTCCTCCAGTTCACAAGCCCCTGAAAAGGATGTACTGCGGTCGGACTGTGACAATGGGAGGTGGTGCATGAAAGCACAGTTGACTGAAGAAACTAGGGTTTGACTGATAAATCAGCCGGCTGAGATACTGGGATTAAGTTTTCTGTGTTCAGCGGGATCAGCAGGGCGGTCTTCAGCCTCAATGATGGAAGCTGCTCCCTGGCTAACATCTGTGATATTTTCTCTGAGAAACTGATTTATTAATTTAAGCGCAGACAAGTTATTCTCACGAACACACACTCACAGATATGCACGCTTAATCACACACAGGAACAGAACATAATTCCTTTCCATCTTTCAGAAAGATAACATAACACCTCACACACTGCCTCTGTCAAGCTGCCATACGCTTGTCTTCACATAGGCCAAAGAGGGTGGAGGACGCTTATTAATACTGGAGAGAGACTTCAGCCCTTTTTCTTTCACATTACCAGTCAAATTTATTCCTTGTTAGACTTAATCAGATTTAAATTCCAGTGTGTGCAGTATGAGTAAGTGTTTACATGAGGTAGCTACACTGCACAGCCTCAGCTCATAAGTAGACATTTTCAGATGTTCTCATAAAACAGGTTAAGATGGACAGTTTTGTAAAGCAGATTGATTTCTTCTAACAGAGTACTGATGATTAAGAGAGATTTCCACATGTATCCAGTGAGAGATACGAACACTCCTCCATCTTTTCAGACTTATGAAAATGGCCTCATACCCCCAGCAATATTAGCTGTCAAAAATTACAGCCTGCCATTGATCCAACAGCGTCGCGTGTCAGAATAATATAAGACAGTGAGCGGAGACGTGTCTAAAGTAAAGTGAGGAGAAAAACACATAGCCGTGGAATAAATGTGCATATCAAGACAGGATTTTACGCCTCAGAGAAAGCACTAGAGGGAAAATCAAACTGATTTCAATGTCACAAAATTGATTGTCCAATTTTTTCCGGATTGCTTTCTGCTTCCCCAGGGTAGGTGAGGTGTCTATCCAAATACACTTGAAGCTCCACCTGAGTTATGTCTGAGAAATTTGGAGAACGACGAGCAAAGTTTGGCTGTCTCTCGCTTTTCCTTTCTTTTGGTGTGTAAACCTCCCTTTTCTCTCTCTCTCTCTTTCTCTGTCACAAACACAGTGCACACGTATGCTGGACATGCTGTCTTCAAAAACTATAGTCTGGATGGCAGATGGAATCGATGGGTGTCATGCCGGAGCCATATTTATGAGAATGTGCTGAAGTGGCTGGGTTTAAATCTCTCCAGACCTGGAGGAGGACAGTTTAAAACTTATGCCTTCTGCACTTCCATCTGGCTCTGCTGACTGACTGTGCTTTCAAGAAGTCTCACTTTTTTTTTCCTTTTACAGAGATGCTGCACTGCGGCTGGACTATTGCTAAACCCCCTGAGGACATATTTGCGAAATCCAGTACACTAATAAATTATGTCGGTGTGGGGATGAGGGGGAATAGATACTTGTAGATACAACATAAAGACAATCATACATGGCGCTCCAGGCTTATACAGCTTTTCAGCGGCCACATCTGCAATCATATTAATACCACAGAGGGCTGGTATCACAACCTTGGATTAGTCATAGCTGTTTTTCTGTTTGGTAGAAAAAAAAAACACCCCATTGGATCTCACTTCTTTGGCTTTGACGGCATTTGAAAAGGCAGAGATTTTAGGGACTTCCACAACAATAGCTTGTTTGCACATGACGTCACATCACTGCGTTCCTGTGGCATGGACTGCAGATGGAGGGCAGGAAGGGATGTCACAAACTCTCAAAATGCCTGTTTTGCATTGTTGCTCCAATTTTTCAAACCAAGAAACCACAAGGAGCTTTTTACTGAGTATCAAAAGTTATAGTGCATAAGGGGGTAAAATGCAAGAAATTTACCAAAAAATGGCTTGCTACTTGCATTGCTTACTCACATTCAGTGAACATGGCAGCAGCAAAGCATAGCTTATTAAAAAATCTATGTCAGGTTAAGTGTACGCTATATTTAGAATATTTTCATCACTTTATCTTGGTGTCAGATAGCCCTTTCCAACAGGTAACTGAAGCTGTTATATCCAACTATCCTCTCTTCAAAGTCACCAGACATACTTTGGTGTTAACTCGTTAGTTTGGATCGCCACAGTCACACAATAACACAAACAAACCAGTGGACTGAGGCAGCAGTAGACCAGCAACCGTATTTCAATTCAGTTGAAAATTGCTCCTCTTCTTGACATAAGAATCACGTCCAACATATGCTATGATTTACTGTTTATCTGTCTCTCATAATATTGTTTAAACCAGCACATCATGGACTTTCCTCCACCTCCATCACCATTTTGCTTTTCACTTCCTGTCCTCCATCTGAATGTGATCGGAATCATGTGACTGCAAACAATCTTTCACACATTACTGACCCACTACCACCACAACAAGTACAGCCTGTGTCTACGCAGGTCTCAACAAACTCTGTTAAATCTGACAGGAACAGGAGTGTAATCAGCCCTGTTCAGACAGCTCCCATTGAAAATTAACTGGAAATAATGTGTCCGGACAAACCCAGTGCAGCCGCCACCTAAGGTGCTCATTAAATCAGCAGTGTAAGTGAAATAATCAAACATGACTCCAATGTAATTCTACCAAACACATAGAGACAACTGATTGGAGTCTCAGATCTTGGTGACTTTGAAGGACTTACTAATAACTTCAAGCGTATATTGCCTATGGAGAAAAAAGTGAATCTGCTTTTTTCAGAGATTTATTGAGGCCACAAACAGGCTGACAATTTGGCAATGTGCCATCTTCAAAGGCATTCAACTGCATATTCTAACACCAGCCTGTTAGTGGTTGTAATAAATCTTGCGTGTGTGTGGAGGAGTATTGCTACCGTTCTTTTTTTCTCCTCATGGAGTGTTATTTTTTAAAATATCTTGAAAGTGATATGCTTCAAAAGTCTCACATTTCGATCACTGAGGCTAAACCTCAAAGACCAACACACATCGCCTGAAACATTCAATCTCTCAATCACTTCACAAAAACCAGCACCAACAGTTCTTACTTCATTGATTACATCTCATTTCACCGTACTTTTAATCAATTACGCCTCTATTAAACAGTTTACAGTAGCTCGGGGAGCTGCTCATCAGGGCGGTTAGCCGCCATGGTTTCAGCAGTTCCGGATGGGAGGTTTTCAGCCAGGCTTGTTGGACACCACCAGAGCCAGCGGATGAGTGTGTATCACCTCAATTAAACTATGCGCTAAGTGTCTGACAACAGCTAATATTCCTCTTCCACCAGCGAACCCAATCGATGTTCTGGCATTCGTCACCCTGCTGAAAAAGCAATCATCCCGTTGTCTCGCTCCGGTTAGATGGGGAAATGGAGAGACACTCATCTGGCTTCTACGTCTGCATGCGGGAATACACCAGCACTCATTCTCACAAAGACACACACAAAAACATATAGGTTGCATATGGCGCACGCACATACTGTATATACACAGTTTCTTCATTCTACTCACTGGCAGCATTAGTGACATGTAAGTGACATGCAGTGTAAGGCTTGTGACAAGAACCTGTCCAGCAACAACTCACACTCTGTTCCACTTGAAAAAGGACCACACACATACACATTCGTCAAGTCAACTCACCTCTCTGTCAAGCAAGGCAGGGGGGATGGCGGTGACAATGTCGCCTCTTTCAGCATCAATGGAGAACATGTTCAAGACAGGATTGTTTGGTGACTGCCTGACAATGTTGTAGCGCAGTGCTGCGTTATCCGTAGCTGGGTCGTCGGCATCGAACGCCATCATTGTCATCACTGTGGTTCCTGGAGAAGACAGTGGACAGACAGGGCTGAGTATGAACTCAAGCGCTAAACTCTGTCATATTTTTACAAGAATAAAATATCCTCTTGGATACAGCAGGAGTTGCTTTATTACTCTGGAGATCGATGCGTTAACAGTAAAACAGATTGGGTTCAATTCAGTCCTAATGGTTGCATTTTTCATTGAGTAAACAAAAAGGAGGAAAAAGGCACCTGAAATAAATCTTGGAAATTGAACTAATGAAACATATGGAACAGGTACACCTTTCAGACTCCTGTAAAAAAAAAAATACAAAAATCCAAACTAAAGGTTATAAATGCATGTTTTAAGCTGGCAAAGACATTAAAATAATTACTGGAACATATGTTCATCCTGACACAGGTTAGCCAGTTTCTCAAAGTGAGTGTAGCTTGTTGTCTATGTGATATTTCTTACAGATTACAATATACATTGTGTTTGTGTTTGCATTCCTAAAATTAGAGCAATCATAGCAGCAGGTGTATGAAAAGCGCAATTTCAACCTACTTCTGCCCAGACAGCCACTTAGAAAGTTAGCCTTTCCTATTAATGTGTTTTCTCCCTCATGTCAGCTTTCACAGCATGGTGCATTTTATTTGGTAATGGGAACAAAAATGGAAATCCTGCCTGCTGCAGCTGAGCAGAAATAGGAGGCAATCCTTGACACACCCTCAACCCTCAATCTCTGTCTCTTTGCAGTGATGAGATACACTAGCACAGAATCATCAGGACAAACAACTCACCCACATGCACACACGACCACACACACACACCTACACACACACACACATATAGACCGTGTTAGGTTGTGTGCGTTCTGAGTAGTGTTTTCCATCCAGAGCTGTCAATAAACTGTATTTTCCATCCAGTGCTTCATGTTCTTGCTGTCATCAGCTTGCAGTCAGACACATCTGGTTAAATTATTATCAGCTGAATACCTCTTCAATTTGTTTAAGCTCTAAGTTTGACTCATTCTTTGAGAGATGCGTGACTGCATTCTGATGAGACAGTGTGTGTGGGACACAGATGGATACTTCTGATAAGCGGGGAAGTTTGACACACTCTGAAATGCAGGATGGATGATTGTGCATGTGAAATTTGAATTTAAATGGCAGGATGTCATTATTTACTATAAACAGCAGCAGAGAACTATATTCAGTAGATTGTGGTCCCAATAATACACCATAATTCTAAAATGACACAACAAATCGACGTGGATGATGATGTGATTCTGCTTCTGCTTTCAGCTTATAAAAAATATGGGAGCAGGCAAACGCATTTCTTTTATGAATTCTGTCTGGGTTACCTTAAGGTTATTCTTTTCTTAAATGATTATACCCACTTTTACCCACTAAAGTTTAATGTGTTTTCTGGCAA